ATGATCAGTTTGAATCATGATGAAAGGGATCGATACATTTAATTTATTTTGCAGCTACAGAACTAGGAAGCTTTTTTTTTTCTTTTTTTTTTTTACATCGTGTTGACATTGGAATCGATCTCAAGTCGCACGTGCGCGATACTCCCGACTTGACTGCGATGATCAGTTTGATCGCAGATCGATACATTCGACTCAAACGACATCTCGCCCTCATCCATTAATTAGGAGGTCAAAGGGTATCTTGGACGAGCGAAGTGGGAGCAATTCACATACATTTATTGGAAATTCACCTTTTAATTTTATCAGAGATTCCGTTCTGATAATTATAAAATTTGAGGGTCGGGAAGGCAAAGTGGTAAATCTGGCCACCATTCTGGCCGTCATTCTGGCCGTAATTCTATCCGCCATTCTGGCCGTAATTCTTGCCGTCATTCTTGCCGCCTTTCTTGCCGTCATTCTTGCTGTCATTCTGGCCGTCATTCTGGCCGTCATTCTGTCACATACTCATTTTCATAGTTGGTACTCAGTAGCACGCAATATTTTTCCCAAATAAATGGTGGACGACATTTAGCGTGCTTTCTTGTCTCGTTTTTTTTTTTTTTAAAGTACACACTCAACGTATCGTTATTTAGAACTTTGGGCGATATCTTCTCATGCCGTTTAGTCATGGCGATATCTTCTCATGCCGTTTTGTCATGGCGTTATCTTCTCTTGCCGTTTTTTCATGGCGTTTTCTTCTCATGCCATTTGTTCATGACTTTCTTGTCTCGTTTTTTTTTTTTTTAAAGTACACACTCAACGTATCGTTATTTAGAACTTTGGGCGATATCTTCTCATGCCGTTTAGTCATGGCGATATCTTCTCATGCCGTTTAGTCATGGCGATATCTTCTCATGCCGTTTGTTCATGGCGATATCTTCTCATGCCATTTGTTCATGGCGATATCTTCTCATGCCGTTTGTTCATGGCGATATCTTCTCATGCCATTTGGTCATGGCGATATCTTCTCATGCCATTTGGTCATGACGATATCTTCTCACGCCGTTTGTTCATGGCAGAGTCAGGAACACAATAATCCCCTAGCATCATCTGCCCTTTTTAAATAGTTTTCTGAAGGCAAGCTTCACATCTGAGCGTAGATGATATGCTGAGCAGAGACTTTCGCTCATATAAGTCCCCTACTGAACTGTTGTTTTCTTGCAGAGACTACCGCTCATATAATTGCCCGGTCGAGCTGTTGTTTATCTTGCAGGCTCTAGTATGATTCTGGCGTGTTCGCGAAGCAGCTCGCGCGTAAAGTCATCTAGTCGGGCGCTCTTCTTCCAGTTTGCTTATAATCAGCAGGCACAGGGGCTGAAAGTGTTCCAAACTTCTTTATGGTTAGGGGTCGATATTAACTATGTTAACTAAGCCCCCTTCTTAAACCCTATAAACTGTCTGGGAGGCTGCCTCTGGCATTAATGCCATTGGGACGGGGGTGGGGGTGGGGTGGCGATACGACTGTCTTTGAACAACTATTTCCCATAGGTGTATACATTGTATTTATCGTGATTTAACTACACCACGTCCATGATTCACATCGATTTACTACTGCCTACGTCCTATGCCTGCTGAGATTATGCGCTGAACTCACTTGGGGGGGGGGGTGTCTCTGTACATCGGCTAGTGACACTGGAGTCAGTAAAGGTCCTTGCGTTACAGAAGAGATAACAGACATAACATCTTTGTAGAAAAAAACAAAACAAATGCTACCTCCAAGTTTATTGATACCAATAGATACGAGTCGATAATTGGATTTTAAAACGAAAAAAAGCTTCATAGCTTTAATCCTTAATCGTTGTTAAAAGAAATTAAAGAATTAAAATGGCGGCTTCAGGGAGTTGGAAAAATTGAGCAAGATGATCCCCCTTTTATAAAAGGCCTGCACATAAATTACATTTCTTTTGAAACCTACAGCAGCGTTTCCCCAAACATTGAAGTCAGGCAGACCCGTGGCCACGTTTTTAAAGTGCGTCAGTGACCGGCGCCAGGTTTAATAATTATATATATATTTTTTTTGTTCCACCATAATTATTCCCGATGTGTGGAGCGGCAACGTAAGGCTCGCGGACCGGAGCCGGTACGCGGATCGCCGATTTGAGCAACACTGACCCACAGAGCGTAATCTGTGATAAAAGTGAACGTTCACTCTTAGCCGAGTCAGCTCGCATGTCGGAATGGATCGCTCATGTTCTTTTCATTTGCTTTTTTCTTTTTTTTAAGAAAAAGGAAAGCGTGCAGGGAGGATTTGCATTGTTATAACGAGAAACAAGATTTTAAAATCGGAAATACGGTGTTCAACGTAGTGATCCAAAAAAAAAAAAAAAGAATTGATGTATATAGTTATAATATATGTATTGTATACAATCAATATTCGCGGTTTATTGACACATCAGATTAAGAATGGGGGATCTAAATTCTGAATCTCGACTTCACCATTCATAACTTGTCAAAGGGGGAAAAACAACTTTCTTATTGTAGACTGAGCTGTATGTAAAAGGCGAATTATACACAGGTCTAAAAATACAAGCTTAAGCAATCAATCTGTGAGAACGTGGCATTGGGGGAAAAAGTGTGGGGGGGGGGGGTTGAATCGCTGCATTAATTATACCTCGAATGAATGAAGGACACACAGTGTTCACTTTACGGCACACATTTCAATAAATTACAATAATATTGATTACAATAATCAATCTTTTCTGCAATCATTTCTATACAAACGGAATGTGCTGACAACCACAAAGCTCCCCCCACACTAAATCTCATACAGACCTTTACTCACTCCATCAATTCTTGTAATATAATGTGTTCACTGAGAGCGCCTGCTTTATTCCGCTATAACAAATGCTAAGATGCCTGTATTTAGATTCACTCACGAAATTGAAAGTAACTCACGCCCAAGACAGTGCTTTTCTCCACTGTTACGACGTTTGGGTTAGAAACACAATAACAAATATAGATAGTTCCAATTAATTTAAACCAGCTGATAGCAGATAGTTAATTGCATTTGGCTATATATATTATATATATTGGCTATATATATATATATATATATATATATATATATATAAGTTCTAAAAAATATATATAAACTCTCTAAAATTTAAAGATAGTTATCTCATAGTGGAGTGTCATGTGTATTTTGAATAGTTACAATTAATTTAAACCAGCTGATAGCAGATAGTTAATTGCATTTGGCTATATATATTATATATATTGGCTATATATATATATATATATATATATATATATATATATAAGTTCTAAAAATTAGATATAAACGCTCTAAAAGTTCAAGATAGTCATCTCCTAGTGGAGTGTCAGGCGTATTTTGCAACACTTAATACAAACTCAACGACTTGATTTTTAAGCACCAAAAGATTTACATTCAGCCTAACATCTTCACGTGTCTCATAATTTGACCTGTGTATACTTCACCAAATAGTCTTGAAATATCTTAAAATGCAAAACATTGGGGCCTTATGTTGAGCCAAATAAGGATTTGACTAAATCTCAGCAAAGAACGTCTAGAAATGTCTGTAATCATAATTACATTTGTTTTTCCGGTTTATTCTGTATTTAAAAAAATAATAATAATAATAATAAAATAGAAGCAACATTCATCAGTCCTGTATTAACGCTGTTGTGTCTTGTAAAAAAAGCGACCACTTTATTCCCAAGTTCCCACTTGGTAATCGTGTTCAATTCACAATGTGGATGATTTCACCGATAAAATATTTCCTCTGAGATCGTTAATAAATAAGAACTGTTTTGTCTGCATCGATTTTATCAGATTGAGTGCACTGTGGTGTGAAGTGTACAAAATAGTGATGACCACGTTGACAATCTCAGTTGGCTTTTCTAGCCTGGGCTCCACGGCGACTTAAAAAAAAAAAATTTGACATACATCACGATACTTGGTGAGCAATGCTTCTAAATTTTGGACAACTCTTTCTTCTTCTGACGCTGCAATTCGGAGCTTTGCTCCTTATTCCGAAAGTCTTCTCAATGACAAGTTTAATGGCACTTTTTTGTACTAAGTTATTTTCTTGTGGTGGAAAAAGTATATGTTCCAAACATAACATAAAATTGGCAGGGTAAAACCATAAAATCACTCAGTGGTTCCCCAAGTAGGTACGAAGCACGGATGCCGGGTTGCCGAGTGATCTAAGATGAGTCCAATCTCCAGAAAACGCATATACAAACATAAACATCACAAGCACCCCGTGTGGCTAGGACTCATCAACCTTGGGTTGGCAACTCATCTAAGAGAATGGGAACTCTTAAATTTTGATTTGCCCCGGACATGGAGTCCCGTAGGTGGTATGGCATTGACGTAGAGCGCATGAAGAGCACACTTACACACACACCCACATTGCATCCAGGTCTATTTCCAGTCATCTTGACCAGATCTTGCAATATGAGTGACGGTGACAAATGGAGCAACTCGCCCTTACTTTAAACAAACTACAGCTCATCGCGTGTGAAGGATGAACAACAAGATAAGAAGCCGCTTGAGATCGAGTTGCAGCCATTTCACCTGTACAGAGACTAGTGGTAAGCCAAGAGGGCTACAGCCATTTCACCTGTACAGAGACTAGTGCTAAGCCAAGAGGGCTACAGCCATTTCACCTGTACAGAGACTAGTGCTAAGCCAAGAGGGCCACAGCCATTTCACCTGTACAGAGACTAGTGCTAAGCCTAGAGGGCTGCAGCCATTTCACCTGTACAGAGACTAGTGCTAAGCCTAGAGGGCTCCGAGGCAGGACTAAATGAATTGATATTGTGCTCATGCAATTTTTACATAGCAAGGAAAAGGGAAATTAATGTGCGTTTGAATTTCCTGAATGTCCATGTTTCACGATAGACTGTGATGTGAACCAACCTATTAGAAACCTAGTATTAACTTGTTGATAACAGTTGAGACAAAGAGCATTTGAACAGGATAACAGATTCGGGTACTTACCATAAACAATTGGATTGATACATGAATTGGAAACAGCAAATATAAACAATCCTCTTTGAACTTTTCCATCTATTTTTAATGCTGAATTCCTGGAATGACAAGAAAGAAATTATATTTAGACATACATTTTTAAAGACAAATTATATAAAAGTTAGCTTAATTGTTCCTTAAAAGAATTTTTTTTTTTAACTTTTCGATTGAAAGTTTGTAGATGTGGTTTCCAATGCGACATTTAAAAAGTTTGTGTACACATTTCAAGTCAAATTTGATAGGTCTACGTCAAAGAAATTTCGATACAGATTGAACGACCATTTCATAGAATCTGTGCAATAAATGTAACTTAGATCGGCACAAAAAAGGTAAACACTAGGGACTTTCCTATGTCCCAATTAAGGCCCGCCTTAGGGACCATTCTGTGTGAGGAGTTATTAACCTTTAGCATCTGTGGGCTAAATTTCTTTTTTATAAATAGTACAAGCATCTAAATACTTTATATGAAAAGGGGGTTCGTGATCTTTATCTGACGGGCAAAGAAGTATGTGACCTTCATTTGACCTTTTCCAGTTGTCCATGACCTTAATCTCACTAGCAAAGTAGTCAGTGGCCTTCATCTCACTGGCAAAGAAGCCCATAGCCTTCAATAAATACGTATAAATGCATTTTGTCTTCCAGTGATGACGTAGTATTAAAACATTAGCCTCGTAGCCCAAAGTAACATAATTTAAAAGGGATTGCACAGTTGTGAAACATCTATCTTAAGCTATCGTGCATCAGCTATAGCACATAGTCTATCGTGCATTTCTTATAGCATTCACTTTGTAGTGCATTATCTACATCTCTTTCTCTATTGTGCATTAGTCATAAATCTTTCTCTGTTGTGCATTTGCGATAGTTCTAACTGTGGTGTGGATTACCTTTAGCCCTCACTCTTTCGTGCAATAGCTGTAGCACTTACTCTGTTGTGCAATAGCTACAGCTCTTACTCTATTGTGCAATAGCTACAGCTCTTACTCTATTGTGCAATAGCTACAGCTCTTACTTTATTGTGCAATAGCTACAGCACCTACTCTATTGTGTAATAGCTACAGCTCTTACTCTATTGTGCAATAGCTACAGCTCTTACTCTATTGTGCAATAGCTACAGCTCTTACTCTATTGTGCAATAGCTACAGCTCTTACTCTATTGTGCAATAGCTACAGCTCTTACTCTATTGTGCAATAGCTACAGCTGCAATAGCTACAGCTCTTACTCTATTGTGCAATAGCTACAGCTCTTACTCTATTGTGCAATAGCTACAGCTCTTACTCTATTGTGCAATAGCTACAGCTCTTACTCTATTGTGCAATAGCTACAGCTCTTACTCTATTGTGCAATTGCTAAAGCTCTTACTCTATTGTGCAATAGCTACAGCTCTTACTCTGTTTTACATCAGCCATAGCGCTATCTAATAATCCAACACACGATGGGGAAAGGTCTTGGTTGTTCTGATGGAATAAGACAGTGTCACGTGAGGCCAGCATTGACCCTGTTATTGATCAAGGGAAATGATCTAAACACAAAATCTCAGACAAGCTGATGTCAGGACTGACCTGTCAAAGTAGTACCAGGCGGAAATGACGAAGTACGGGGTCCAACACATGACGTAAGCACCCACTGTGTGGAGAAGGAAGAAAAGAATTGCATTTAAAAAAATGCTGTTATTTTTGCATTGATGATGATCTGATTGGAAGGATATGAAATTATTTTTTTTAAAATTTACTTGTAAGACTGGATTAATTTTGAGATTTGATGTGCATGTTAAAAAAAAACATATATACATACATATATATATGTATGTATATTTGTGCTTACGACTCGATGAGATAGCGTTCAATGATGATGTCAGGTGACTTTATTACATTTGATACATATTTGGCCCGCTCTTTTGCCCACTCATTTGCCCACTCTTTTTCCCAATCTTTTCCCCCACTCATCTTACCACTCGTATGCCCACTTATAGAACTAGTCTTGGGCCCATTCTTTTGCCCATTCATTGGCCCACTCATGTTCCCACTCTCGTTGCCTCTCATTGGCCACATCTTGTTCCCACTCTTGTTGCCTCTCTTGTTCTCCACTCATTGGCCCCCTCTTGTTCCCATTCTCGTTCCCACACATTGATCCACTCTGGTTTCCACTCACGTTCCCACTCATTGGCCAACTCTCGTTCCCACTCTCGTTCCCACTCTCGTTCCCACTCTCGTTCCCACTCTCGTTCCCACTCTCGTTCCCACTCTCGTTCCCACTCTCGTTCCCACTCTCGTTCCCACTCATCGACCCACTCATTGACCCACTCTTGTTCCAACTCTTGTTCCCACTCTTGTTCCCACTCTTGTTCCCACTCTTGTTCCCACTCTTGTTCCCACTCTTGTTCCCACTCTTGTTCCCACTCTCGTTCCCAATCATTGGCCTAATCTTATTCTCACTCTTGTTCCCACTCTCGTTCCCACACATTAGTCCACTCTGGTTTCCACTCACGTCCCCACTCATTGGCCCACTCTTTTTCCCACTCTCGTTCCCACTCATTGGCCCACTCTTTATCCCACTCTCGTTCCCACACATTGGTCCACTCTTTTTCCCACTCTTTTCTCCCCTCATTGGCCCACTCTTGTTCCCACTCGTGTACTCACTCATTGGCCTAATCTTGTTCCCACTCTCGTTCCCGCACATTGGCCCACTCATTTATATTAACGATTATTTCGAATTAGCTTCTATGTATCTCTCTTCCGTTGGCTAGCTTTCTCTGAATCTTCCTTTCTTTCTGACCGTCTCTCATTATCTCTCCGCAATGTATCGCCTTTATGCTTCATTTTAACCCCCCCCCTTTTTTTATTCGCCTAAACTCTCATCTCTCTCTCATCTCCCCCTCTCTCTCACCATGTATCTTTCTATCTTTCTCTTCCTCCAATTCACCCTATCTTTCTCCCCTCACCCCTCTCTCTCCATCTTTCTCTCTCTCCCTCCCTCTCTCGCTCTCTCCACCTCTCCTTTCCCAAAACCCTATCCATCTTTCCTTCACCCCCTCTCTCTCTCTCCATCTCCGTCTCCATCTTTCCCTCCATCTCTCTCGCAAATTCTTTTTTTTTACCCCCTTTCACGCCACCAGTTTTGTTTAGCTTCCAACACAACCAAATGCCTGTTACTCGATCACCTTGGCCACATGATAGGATGCTTTTTCCCCCTTCACATACTCAATCAACTAGTAATGACGCCAATTTGCAGAAAGTGTACAGATTAAGCATGTGCCCAGCTAGTATTTCAAGGCAAAATCAGTGTCATTATTTTATCAGTATAAACAGGTCTGAAGCTTACATTATCTTTCAAGAACATGAGCATTATCTGAACATGTTTGGATGTTGAAATGCAACATTTGCCAATTCCATGACGCCATGTGGGTAGGGGGGGGGGTGAGAATTATGAATGTATGCGATGACAAGGTAATTCACCTATATGACAAGGTAATTCACATATATGACAAGGTAATTCAACAATATGACAAGGTAATTCACCTATATGGCATTCATGTCCGACCTGGTTTGAGTTCTCTTCAAACGCACGCTAAATATTTCTATTCTCAAAGAATGTGCCCCTGCTCGTCAATTTGAATTGTATTTTATGGCTTGATGTGGACCACCCGCTCCCCAACCACCCAACCCCTCCCCACCTCAAACCAGGGACGTGCTGTCACGTGGAAACCCGTGACGAACTATGTAGTAAGAAAGGCACGGAGGCCCCCCCTCCCCGCACACCGGAGATTGTAATATCTGCCCAAAAAGGCCCATGACGCATGCTCGTCGCGTCGTTGTGGGCCAGCACGTCCCTGCCTCAAACCCGGCCCTTATAAACAAAGCAGTTACTCATACACATAACGCAGCCTTATGTCGATAAGTGTTTGCAAGATGATTGGCTTCAACTGTGAATGGTCTAGTGCAGTGTCTCTCAACCTTTCTAATGCAGTGACCCTTTAATACAATTCTTCATGTTGTGGCGACCCCCAGGCACAAAATTATTTTCCTTGATACTTTATAACTGTAGAGTATTTGTGTTTTCAGATGGTCTTAGACGACCCCTGTGAAAGGTTTGTGCGACCACTAAAGGATTTCGCAACCTACAGGTTGAGAACCCCTGGTCTAGTGGTAGTATTTTGATCTCTCCAAACATTTGGTGGATCTTCAAAGTAACGCTTCCTGAAGCTATGAAGTTAAGATTTTACACAAATCAATTTCGTTAGATAATGAATGATTTAAAAAAATCAATATCAAAAACTTTAAGGCTATCAATAATTTAGTTCGTGAGTTCAGCGATATTGAGAATTTCAAAGCGACTCTACAGACAAAATGTGAAACAAAAACAAAAAAGTATATCTTTTACTAATTTCTTGTTCGTTGATATATTTCAGATCAGTGACGTAAAGAGGAGTTTATATCTAACACGAGCTGCGGCAGCGCAACAACGTTGTGCGTGTAAAACACTGTCCGTTCAAAGTCTGGGGCACCAGTGCAAATGTTACTGCCAGGTCCTTTAAAGGACAATTTACTTATTGCATCCACGTCGATCTCCTGGATGTTCTTGTGTGTGCATTTGATGCGTACGTGATCAAGCGCACGATGGGGAAGCAGCGAAAGACAGCGCAGCACAGTGCGCAAAGAGAGCGGCTCAGACAAGAACGATCCGCTCGGGAAATATTATTTAAGATTATAAAAGATGTGTGTGATGGGGAGCGCGCGTTTTCTATAAATGTGCACCGGGTCGAAATTCCGTCACTGTTCCAGACAAAGACAAAATGTACTGAGGAACGTTTGCTAGATCCTAGCCCACCGCTTGTGAGTTGTTGTTACTCTGACACACAGACCATAGGCTTAGTTAGGCTAGACAGTTACCGTAATTTAAACTGAACGAAACATGCACTTCCCTAACCACTTTTATAATAATAACTTTTATAATTTCTAGCCTTTGAAACTGAATAATGAGTAAAAAAAATGCAACGTCTTACCGATAACAAGAGTCATTTTCAGCGTCCTGGACTTCGCCCTCTCGATGTTTCCCACGCCTGATCTACGTAGTCCTGCGTGCTGATGACTTGACCCGTCAAACACTTTTCCAGACAGTTCATCTATTGGCAAACAACGAAGAAACACACCATCACGTCATGCGTCAAGAGCCAGGCGGCGGCAAAGCGTGTGACCAATGAAAACACAGAAATGACGTGGTATGAAAATGAAGGTCGGAGCCTTATTTAAAATGAATTCTGTCACCTAAGGTCGTTGGTACTTTGGTCGCTGTCTTTCGTTCAAGTCGAGGGCAATTTGAATAACAACCGGGGTCGCCCCAGGATATTGCTAAGATAGGTGTGTAGCAGGGATTCTTCAGCTCTGTAAGGTGTGGGGAAACCATGCGCAAGGCAAACCATGTAATGAATGCTGACCAGGGCATCAGCAGCTTGTTGAAGTTGTACTAAGTAAAGAGAGGCTGCAATGTGGTTAGGTCAAAGAAAATGAGCGAAACAAAGTATGGGCAAATCTGAAAAAAAAAAAATTAAACGTGCCGGCAAGAAGTGTTGTTCGGCGAACAGTTCAACGAATATAAAATCTCTATTTAAAAAAAAAAAAAACACTTAGCTGCAATGTAGTATCTGAAAGGACAGCATGAGGAATGTGGACATTCTACATTGGAGCCAAGTGTGGTGTTTTTGTTAACAGGTATTTAATCTTGTTTTTACTGTTGTTTGTTCGCTAAAGAAGGTTTCTTGCCAAATCGTTCGTAGTTTTGTTGAAGTTGGAAGTGTTGGACTTGCTTGGAGTTTGCCATGTTGGCGTAAGCTCACCAGTGAAATAAGTTGGCTGCCAGAATGACCCGAGTGACAATACAATGTTTGTAGATGTTTGGCCTAATTGAAACCTGCTTGCAGTCTTCTTCCGATAATCTAATGAAATAAAGTTTGATCGTCAGCCAGCTTGTCGGCTTTGGTGTTAAACGAAAAGTCTCTGCCGGTCATGCCACTGTAAACTTCTCTCATTCGTTGCACTTTAAGACGAGTTCCTTTGAGTCATGGCACTGTAAGTAAAGCTTCTCTTAGTCACGGCACTGTAAGTCAAGTTGCTGTAAAGCATGAAACCGTACGCCAAATGTCTGTAAGCCATTACAATGTTAAGTCAAGTTTCTGTAAGTCAATTTTATATAAAGCTTGCCGCTATAAGTCAAGTTTCTGTAAGTCATGGCACCATACATCAATTTTTATAATAAAGCATGGCACTCTACTTAGTTTCTACAAAGATACCCATCTATCAGGATGTGCCGGTATCAAGACACGCCACTGTAGCAGCATGATCTGCTTCTGTCTGAGGAAACCTTAAAGGAGCCATTTAACCCTTTTTGTTACAAAATAGGATCGGCTCAATGACCACCCCTGAACAGTTCTTAAAACCCATTCCATTCAAATAATGTTTGAGCTGCCCCAGGGTAGTGCTAAAAAGTGACGCAGACGGAATCCGATACGTCATTAAAGGCCTTCTTTTGACTCGCGTTTTCTTTTCATTTGTCGCATTTGTACATTTGTTGTTGCTGTTGACGCACGTGACCCTCTCGTTCGGTCGATTCAGTCTTCCTCGTGCGTCTGAGATGATGACCACAATGTCACAGCTCCGGTAGGCTGGGTTTAGGGATAGAAGGGTTTGGGTTGGAGTTGTGAGCGATGGAGGAATAAGAAAAGGTGATTTAAAAATAAAATCTCTACCCATTCACTTACAAAACCCATCGGTCCTAACTGTGGGATTTCGGGATGGGATTGGGGAAATGTTTATACCCTGATAAACGGATGGCAATCTACTCTACTTTATAGTTAAATGCTTGGGTAAAGAGCTAAGTCGCTATACCCATGATTTTGTAACCATCATTGTTTTTTTGTTTTTTTTTAAATATACTTTCATGTGTAATTTACAGTTTGAAATGTTCATACTAAAAAAAAAAAGGAAAATATATGTTTTAAATTGAAAAACTAAATTTCTTTCAAAGACAATTTTAAACGCACAAAAAATGTATTTAAAGAATATTTAAATTTTTAAAAATTCATTTTTCAAAGTAAATATGTACAGTATGTTTTCAAATATTAGGTTTAAAAAAAGTTTCTTCTAGATTTAATTTGAATCCTATGGCTTCACCAAGTGCCTTACCACGGGTCTGGACATACTTTCTTTGCGTAAAAAAAATTATTGTCTAGTTTTTAATTCTGTTTAAACTCGTCTTTTATAGAAATTCTTTTTAAAAAAGTTTTGGTATAATTTTTTTTTTTGAGGTATGAATAAAAAAAGGACATATCTCAACACAGTGTCACGTGTCACGTTGTGTTTATCTTAACACAAGCCTCGAGGATTTGGTTGCCGCCTTTGCTGTTGTTGCGGTTTATCCGATGAAAGGATAAAAGTCTCGCATTTAACCAATTTCTTTCAAATGGGGAAAACTAGATTATGGCCAGTGGTGTTCTGGCTAAGTCATGGTCGCTATGGCCAGTGGTGTTCTGGCTAAGTCATGGTCGCTATGGCCAGCGGTGTTCTGGCTAAGTCATGGTCGCTATGGCCAGTGGTGTTCTGGCTAAGTCATGGTCGCTATGGCCAGTGGTGTTCTGGCTAAGTCATGGTCGCTATGGCCAGTGGTGTTCTGGCTAAGTCATGGTCGCTATGGCCAGTGGTGTTCTGGCTAAGTCATGGTCGCTATGGCCAGTGGTGTTCTGGCTAAGTCATGGTCGCTATGGCAAGTGGTGTTCTGGCTAAGTCATGGTCGCTATGGCAAGGGGTGTTCTGGCTAAGTCATGGTCGCTATGGCAAGTGGTGTTCTGGCTAAGTCATGGTCGCTATGGCAAGGGGTGTTCTGGCTAAGTCATGGTCGCGTCTGCGCGTGCCTACGACCTGTAAACCAAGGGCACACAATCGTTTAGCGAGAGAGAGCGAGCAAGAGAGAGAGAGAGAGCGAGCAAGAGAGAGAGAGAGAGAGAAAGAGAGAGAGAGAGATAGAGAGTATGAATTTTTTTTTATTCGAGTTTTAAAGAAAATAAATCAATAAAAGATAATGTGATCTATTTTTCACAAAAATTATCTAAACCTGTTAATTGTAAAATCCACCCCCCCCCCTCAAATAATTTGCAAGACTAGCTAATTTATTATGCTTGCCAGACGGGATTTAAACTTTGACCAAATTGGGCTTGTCATTTCTAATACCGGAAAACATCACATCGCATTACGTAATGTTACTATTTTTAGGCAACGATTTCTTAAAACGTAGTTTGAAACAATGTATTTTCGCATAAACTTATAGCAGTAGCGATTTATTCTTGTAGGTAAAATCTTTCGTATAACGCAGTTGTAAACACGTTTTTGTCTAGGTAAACGCCGACTTCGCTGGCTCACATTAACGTAAAAGCAACGTAAAAGCTAGCTGGCCGAATGGAAAAACGGGAAGTTCTATTCACATTTTAATGAGAATGGCCTGACTTTACGCCCGGATGTTCTATTAATAGATTTCTGCCATCTTAAATGACAAACCCTATTCGTAGATTTTGCTTCCATTCATTACGCACGCTACTGGGGATCGTTAATAATACTTTGAACACACATTTGCTTATTGTTCAAACAACCTTAAAGGGAAAGGTTGATTCCTCGTCTTTAAGTAGACCCCGTAGAAGTTGCTAGTCCAAAGATTGTGGTGCTAGTCCAAAGAGTGTTGTGCTAGTACAAAGATTGTGGGGCTAGTTCAAAGATTGTGGTGCTAGTTCAAAGATTGTGGTGCTAGTCCAAAGAGTGTGGTGCTAGATCACATTAAAATACACGATGCTCATGGAATGTATTGTTCGTACAAGCTTCGTGGGGGTGGGGGTGCGCGCTTACCTTTGCTCTGACGCGATTTCTTGGAAATCCGACACAAGATGACACAGTAAGCTGACGTGATGATGGCCAGGGGAAGGCCGTACAGGGCGATAATGCTGAAGAGATTGTAGGCAAGCTCGTGATCGGGTGACGGGAAAAAGTTGAAGGTCACACACTGTTGAAACCATCGGAATATCGGGTGAGTCTCGACGTGGAAGATGACACTCTGGGGGAGAGAGGAAAGCAACCTGTCAGATGGCGACACGTGGGATTAAATCAGAGTTGGATGAAACAAATTTAGGGTTAAGTTAAGGGCCTCCACACCCACACCCCTTTAAATCTGCCTCTACCGCCCCCACCCCCGCGTAGCGTTGATTCAAAATCCCACACATTCGTAGCTATCCTGTAACCAAACAAGCTTGTCAGTTGTTGTTTTTGTGTGTGTAACAACATTACACCGTTTTAATCATACAAAATTTCAAATTCTGAAATTAGAAGTAAAAAAAAAACTGACACACGAGAGATGTAGAGCAGAAGAAGAAGATCTTGTTTTTTTTTTTTTTTGTTTTGTGTTTTGTTTTGTAAAGTAACCGGATATCTAGTAAAGCAAAAATTTTCAAAAAAATTCTGAAATTAGAAGTAAAAAAAAAACTGACACACGAGAGATGTAGAGCAGAAGAAGTAGTTCTTGTTTTTTTTTTTTTTTGTTTTGTGTTTTGTTTTGTAAAGTAACCGGATATCTAGTAAAGCAAAAATTTTCAAAATATCGTGTTGCTAGATCTCTGGCTCCAAACATTATTTTAATGTTCAAATAGGATTCATTTTTGAAGTTGTAAAAACTCATTGCTCGAAAAGGTTCTCACCCGCGAATTGAAGTTACGCAATGTTACATTAGAGATTGCATTATTGCCAGCTTTCTTTTCTTTTTGGTTTTTAGTCTTCAGTAACCTCCCCCACAATGACGATATCGCTTTGGATCCTTTTATAAAATTGTACAACGTCTTTGGACCAGGAAGACGTCTGGCTTTTTGTTACAGACACAGACACAACCAACGTTCATTTAATCAAAAACAGGTCAGACGTATTAATGGAGTAGTGGGCAAACACCGTAACTGGATCTGGGAATCCAGTTCGCTTCATCAAAAGTAGAGCAGACGTATAAAGTAATGACGTAAGCGAGGAGCTAAAAATTGTTCAGGAAACTGACTACTATTATTTTTAAATTTATTTTGTCATTAACTATTTAACTCAAGAGGAGACATTCAAAAGAAGGGCTGTCCCCCCCCCACCCGCACCCCACCCTGTGTGAGAGCGTGTGTCATCGCTGCCGACAACGGATTCGTGTATCATGTAATAGAGACGTAACGAGACAGCTACAATTTACACAAATTATTTCCTCCATAGCAGGAACATTGCAGGTCACAAAATTTAAAAAAAAAAATCACTAACCGATCTTTAACTTCCTTAAAATATATCTATATTTTTTTTTTTACATTATGAATTTCTTGGAGACTACAATGCCTTTCACTTTAAACATGTGTTGGCAGATAAGATAAGATTCTTTTCTTGGTTTCATTTAATATTAGAAAAATGCACATAATCATTTTTTAAAAGACTTGTAATACAAATGAAGACAGTAAATAAGAAAAAAACACACAAAAAAAGTTTTCTTATTTAAATAACAATTTTAAACAGCAAAACGTTTTAACGTAAGAAAATTGAAAAGTAAAAAAAATTTCAAACACGCACAAAAGAAGTAACTCTGTGTCTCCACAACTCTATCTCTAATCCCCGTACTGGATTAAAAGTGCCGAGTCTCTTCTCTACCAACAGGAGAAGGACGCTAATGGAAATGTATTTGACTTGGGAGCTAATGATTTTCTATTCTTCTTGGTCCTTACTTAAGTAAAAGTAATATGATCGATTAGGATGCGTCATCCAAAAGTATATTTTTTAAATTTTTTTTTTGGAAAATCATTTTGTTTAGTTTTACGGATGCATTGCTTTAAACTTTAAATATTGCTGTGAGAACATTCTAGTTATTTTAAAATATATCTAACGAAAGCGAATTTGCATCGCAGCCAAGAATAAAGGAACTTAATAATTTTAAAAAAAAAAAAAAAAAATTTAATAAAAAAAATGTGATTCGTATATCTGCATTTTTTAAAAATTATTTTATTTTATATGAATATTCTAATGCCACGCCCTCTTTACACGGCAGAATTATTACACCAACTATTTAAGAAAGAACAAAAGAAAGTATTACGCACCAAACGCACTTTTTAAAATAATCTCAATTGGCGCAGTTATCGTGAATTTAATTTCAAGAAATCTTTTGTATCATATTATCCTTCATCAGCCCCTTAAAAATCATGAAAAACTGAATCGGATTTGGGGGGGGGGGGGCTGAAAAATTTGACAAATATGTTTTAATATCGTCAGGGAGTCTAATTGCCCAGTTTCAGCTCGATAGGTTGATGGGAAGTGGGTTAATTAGCTATCCGCAGATTATGCCACACACCCAAACAGGAAGAGCAAAAACACGAAAAAAAGCGAAGTTAGTATGAAGGATATAAACCACACAAAAGAATTAAAGCAAACTAGCATTTTGATTATGAGAGTATAGCCACACACACACACACACACACACACACACACACACACACACACACACACACACACACACACGCACACGTTATAAATCACATCCCAGGTTACTTATTTCAAGACCTTGACGAAAAATCGCTTCAATTTTAATTTGCAAGTTTTTCTTTCAGTTCCTCAACAGAAACCTTAAATTTATAAAAGGCTGTGACTAATCGCAGACGTGAGAATGGCGGCGCTGTGTGTCTGGGTCCATTTTGACTAATTTGCTATTCGGATGCCCTTTGTGGTAGTTTATTTATTTTATTTCAACTGAAGAATGAAGTTTACAAACATGTAGTCCATTCAATTATCTTTCATTTGATTCCTCTTTTTGTCTTACAGACCCAACAATAATATTTTAAATAGTTTTTTTTAATCCCAACCTCTCACTTCTGGTACCCGGGTGCGTATCGCCAAGAGGTTTATAAAAATGCTTTTCGTACATCCTATCGGACGAACTGTATCTTAAAATCATCACCCGTTTCGTTAATAAAAAAAAAATAACAAATTTAAAGCTGCAGTGAAGAGGACTAATCAAAGTTCGTGTAAAAGAGAAACGAAACATCATGAGAAAGACATAAACATTAGCAGGAATTTGAAGAAAGAAAAAACAATTTTTTAAAGTATTATTACACATCTTGCTCTCTTTTGCTTCCACAAAGAATGAAATAGCGAAACGAGGTATGAGAAAGCTTGAAATAAGGTAACAAGGACAAAAAAAAAAAAACAAGGACGTTTCGGCATAAAGGCTTTATGTCGAAAGTCCTTGTTTTTTGTCTTGTTATCTTACTTCAAGATTCCACATAGCTCGTTTCGCTATTTCATTCACTGACTAAGCTTGAAAGCAGTCCTTTCATTGATATTTGCTTACACCAGCGGTTTTATCAAACATTAACATTTTTACTCTTTTTTTGTTTTTAAATGAAATAAATTTTTGCTGTGTTTTTAAAAAAAATCATATCTCATATCCGGTAAAGTTTCATATAATTGTTTATGGACATCAATTTTGTTCAATACTTGAATGACACTCCACAGATTGTAGCCGTATTTGTCGTCTGACAATTTGATTTATTTATACGGTGTTTTCTTTATCTTATAAATTTTGTGTGTGCAGTGTCCTCCTCACGTTACAATATCAGCTCAATAATCTTAGCAAGATAAATCGAGTTGTGTTTTAAATCCCTTCACTGGTGCTGCTGACAAATGTCTTTAATATTAAAGCTGAACTATGTTCCGTCCCTGGATTCGTTGTCAAGACAAGGAACTGACGTCAATGACATAAGGATTTTTTGTGTGGAAATATTTACTTTGATAAGTGGGGAAGAGTAGCGGAATAAGATTAGCCAACCAGTAGTTCCTTTGAGACCTTTTTTGTCCGCCGGGGGGGGGGATTTTAGATACTCGGATGGGCAGTGAGGGTGGCGAAAGGAGTGTGGGCGAAGGGGGTTGTCCGACCCCAGGGGGGTACTTTTTCATTTTACAATTTATGGAGGGGCGAAAGTTTCGGCCTGCTGCAGAGTATAAACGTGCAAGGGGGGTTGCAAAATTCTTGGTCAACCCGGTGTCACGCACTGGCTTCTATTGTGAGGAATTAATCTCCTATTTTAAATTTATGGCTCGTTCAAACAGTGCCTTACAAAGGACGATACCATGGAGAAATTAAATAACAAAAACACCACACCCAAAACAGTACCAATTGCAATTTATAAGATTTAATTTAGCAGTAATAATATTACAAACACAAGAAATGTAATTGCTACTCATCAACTTACGGAGTATGTGAAAATCTTGTACCGGTAAGCAGCTGTTTGTACAATGTGCCAGTTAATAATGGTGAATGATCAATGCGAATAAACACAGATACCTCAAAACATATTTAACCACGCCCACAACAAATGTTACTGTCTGCTAGGAGTCTAATGGGGGGTCAAAGAAAGTACACGCACGGGGAAAAAGTGTACTACATAACACCTCACCTCTTAAAAGAAAAAAAATCATTTTTCAAAAATGGAATTCTTTTTCCATTAAAAAAATTAAGAAAGTACATTTCTTCCTTTCAAAATATTAGACCAAAAAGCTTCTTAACAGCTGATTAACAACAACATAAGTTATATGTACAGTGAAAATTAATTTATGGAAAAAGTATCTGCAATGACATATCTTTGCCTTTAATATGTTTGATGTCCAAATTATATTCTTGTAAAAATAGGCTCCATCTTAACAATCTTTGATTTTTGGGGACCATCTTATTTAAAAATGTTAAAGGATTGTGATCAGTAAAAACAAGTACTGAATGTAAAGAACAACTGACATAAAAATCAAATTGTTGGAGAGCAAGAATTAAACCTAAATAATGTTTTTCTACAGTGGAATAGTTTTTCTGATGGGATTTAAAATTTCTTTGAGAAATAAGAGACAGGATGATCTACACTGTGGTCATCTTTTGAAAAAGAATTGCACAAATGCCAACATCGCTGCCATCTACTACAGCTAATTTAAACTGTTTGTTAAAAGTCTGGTGCAATGAGAACAAGAGCTTTAGCTAGTAATTTTTTTATGTTTTCGAATGCTTCCTGACAATCA